CTACTTACTGTAGCTTAAGTGACCACAGGGATCGGGCGCATTCCGATTGATTTTGTTCACGGGCAATTGGCGCTGAGCACGCGATAACTGCCGATCGAGATGAAATGACTTATTAAGGATCATAGCGCAACACGTTGATTGAGTCGTGCAATAACAAAAAAAATCGATCATTTTAGAATCTTGAAAATGTGTCACGCAAAATATTTCAAAAGTGCGCGCGGTGGGTGGATTGGTGGCGCGGTGGGCGGCACAACCCAGAGGCATGACACGAGGGAGAGACAGCAGGGGGTGAGACAGCACAGGCGAGGACATTAACGGGGACAGACAACGCAGAAGTGGCACACGTTACAAACAAAACGGATCTTAAACACAGTACAAAGAATACAGAAGAAAGTGCCGTACAAATACGATGCTCTACGTGTTATATATAAATGAGACGGCACGAACAAGGCAATAAGCAACCGAAATACCCACATTACAAACAAGACTGATCGATACAGCGAGGCACAGCACAAAGGTGGACGATGCTGCAGAGCAATCGAGACACACAGCAGAGCCGAGGCAGTACACACAAGACAACAACATCATCTGTGATGATGAGTTCGTATGGTCAATGCTGTGCAACAAATACAGATGCAGTTCTACGTGATTGAATCATTCCATTGCTGTAACTGATAGTTGGTGAATTGCCGATACACCCGCCCACTCACTCAACCAACTCACCCACAACTCACCCACCCACTCACCCATCCACTCACCCACCCACTCACCCACCCACTCACCCATCCACCCACCCATCCACCCACTCACTCACTCATCCACCCACTCACCCACTCACTCATCCACTCACCCACCCACTCACCCACTCACCCATCCACCCACTCACCCACCCATCCGCCCGCCCACCCATCCACCCACTCACTCACCCACTCACTCACTCACCCACCCACCCACTCACCCACCCACTCACCCACCCACTCACCCACCCACCCACTCACTCACTCACTCACCAACCCACCCACTCACCTACCCACTCACCCACCCACTCACTCACCCACTCACCCACCCACTCACCCATCCACTCACTCACCAACCCACCCACTCACCTACCCACTCACCCACCCACTCACCCACCCACCCACCCACTCACTCACCAACCCACCCACTCACCTATCCACTCACCCACCCACCCACCCACTCACTCACCAACCCACCCACTCACCTACCCACTCACCCACCCACCCATCCACTCACCCACACACTCACCCACCAACTCACCCACCCACTCACCCACCCACCGCCCTTTAGACATGTATACATGGGGCCGTGCAAAGTTCTGTGGTCGATGGCGTTTGGTGTTCGTAGCCCGCAGTCCCACGCAGGAGGATAATGTTTGATCCCCTCCCCCACCCCACTTGTGAATTGGGTGTCCGCGCCTTCAAATAATCTGTTATTTAATTTCGCTCGTGAACCACCGGTGGAATCGCCGAAGGGGGGAGGGGGGGGCGGTCGGTCAATCGTTGGCCGCTTCGCTCCGAGCCTCTCTTCACCGCGCGGTGTGCGTGTGACCGTGACGCGCTCCGGCTCCACTCTGCGCACGAGAGACGCGCTCCGGCTCAAAGAGAGACGCGGGGGCTTCAGCGAGCAGCAGCAGCAGCGAGCGCTCTCTCGCGGTCAGCGAGGCGCTCAGGCGGCACGCCGTGGTGGTCCCAGAGGACCTCCCCCCACCCCCACCTAAATACCCCAGTGTACCCCCTTGAGCGATCGTGACCACCCCCAGACCCTCTCTTTCACACGCCCGTCACAGGCGTTGGGCGCGAGATCAATAAATGCGTGGTGCTCGTCTGTCGTGCGTGTTGGTTGTCCATAATAGAGGGTTTTTTTTAGGGGGGGGGGGGGGGGGGGTTAGTTCGTGTAAATATATAAGTGTGTCGTTAAAACCCGCCACCACCCGACACGGCCAAATAGTAAGGTTTGTCACGTAAAACAGAACGTGGCCAATTCGTCACTTGTACAGCACACCGATGTGTTGGAGAGCCAAGCCTCAGCACTTACCTCTATTACGGATGATATTTGGTCGGCGAAAGTCTACGTGTTAAGCCGTGTGGGCTGTGTGTGTGTGCGGTGGAAAGAGAGCGGTGGCGCAGCGGTTTGTGCCCGGCGATGGGAAATCCCGGCGACCCGAGTTCGCTTTACGCTCGCGAGCAATAATAGTGGCACATATTTGAACCGCTTCTGGGCCTCCGCTAGGTCAACTCGGCTTTTAATTGAGCGCATGGTGCGGTGTGTAAACATTTCCACTAGAGAGACAAAGGCGACCGGACCCTGTAACGGTCAAGCTTATACTTTGTACACCATTCTGGCCTTCGTAAGTAATCGCTAACAGCCCTTTCCCCAATAACCTGTGTAGGCTATATGCAAGATAATTGTCTTTTATGCTGCGTATGCATGTGATTTGTGTTCATGGAGCAAGCACCTGTTAATGATTATAACGCGAAAATAAAACCAATATCAGATCGACCGCGAGCAATTGTTTTCAGCAAATGTGAATTTCCAGACCCTTCACATGTCAACAGACGTTCAACGTCCAGGGAAATTGAGGTTATCCTATAGAGCACTTTTTTTACTCCTTTGACTGTCATTCCTTCACCAGGCTCGTCCATGGGGCATCATCGCTTCCAGGGCATTGTCCTACCGAATCCAACTGTGCATGCAATATTTTGTGTTCGTTCCTGATCCGTATTTGTATTTTCCTGTCTCTCATTGCAATTTGAGCATGCATCTATCCATGCGGATTCTCACACTTTTCCGCTTTTGGCCCATTTTGCGTTATCTTTGTGAACGTTTCTGATCCACGTGTTATAGTTGGCAATATTCTGCAGGTCCTTTGATATGTGATTGTTTTGCATACTCAAGTTCAGCTTACCAAAAGCACTCCATCCTACTCTGATACGAACATTCTTGGAATTGCGTTTGGAGACTGAAAGAGAAATGCCTGCGTTCGCGAACATATGAGGTACTGTATTACACCGCTCAACCGCACCGCTCAAGAAAGTAGTTCGTCGTCAACCGATCAGAGACCGCTTTATAACGGGCGCCTTCTGCGTTATAACGGGCGCGTTCTGCGTTACAATGGGCGCCTTCTGCGTTATAACGGGCGCGTTCTGCGTTATAACGGGCGCCTTTTGCGTTATAACAGGCGCCTTCTGTGTTATAACAGGCGTGTTCTGCGTTATAACAGGCGCCTTCTGCATTATAACGGGCGCCTTCCGCGTTATAACCGGCGCCTTCTGCGATATAACGGGCGCCTTCTGCGTTATAACGGGCGCCTTCTGCGTTATAACGGGCGCGTTCTGCGTTATAACAGGCGCCTTCTGCGTTATAACAGGCGCCTTCTGCATTATAACGGGCGCCTTCTACGTTATAACGGGCGCGTTCTGCGTTATAACGGGCGTCTTCTGCGTTATAACGGGCACCTTCTGCGTTATAATGGGCGCCTTCTGCGGTATAACGGGCGCCTTCTGCGTTATAACGGGCGCGTTCTGCGTTGTGCGAAAATTGTTCCCGAATGTAAGAACTACGTTCAGGCGAAAACACGTTGTGTAAACACGCGTTAAGCAAGAATTTGCCGTATATATATGTCCGTGTTCTATTGCACGAATATTAAGGTATTTTCTGTATGCTTAACGCCTCACCTGTTTAAGGTAACACATCGCAAATGGACGGCGTTAGAAGCACGTCTGGTAATGTGTTCACATTTTGTTTGTTTTACTTGGTTCACTTACAATAGGCCATCGGCGCATCGTTCTTTTTATACATCATGCTACTCAGGGAACCCGCATTGAGCCTCAAGGCACGTTCTCATGAGGCTCCTCCACTGATGAGTGAATTCGTGAATGAGGGATTGGCTTCGAGTGCGGAGGAAACTAAAAGGTGTAACACTCAGCACCGCCATCTCCTGGCCACTTCACAACCCCAAGTTCTACAACGTCTGGAAAATCCTACATGGCTTAAAAAAAATCCACATAGAATGTTGATATGACCCTGCCCTGGAAATGAAACCAATTAACCTCCGTGACGAATTGTTCACGCGGCACCATCATTGATCGTATCATTGTCGATGTTTAACCGGTAAAAAATATCGTAGACCTCATTATAGTTGACTTAAAACTTTCGTGACTGCAGGAATTCATATTCTTGGTTCTTTCGGTTAAAGTCACGTAGATAGAAAATAAAAAATAAAATAAGACCGCTTGTGTTGCGATCGAAACGTCGTGGGTTTTTTGCTTTTATTTTTAATTTAATTTATTTTCAATTTTATTTTATTTTTATTTTCTACCTACGTGACATTACCGAAAGAACCAAGTAAACTCATTATAGTTGCGTCGAATTTAATAATTGCTAGTCTTTTCTCGAACATCACTGTTGTTGACATCGGTCAGTCACGATCGGCTGCACTTATGCCGCTTCAGAATTCGCATCCGTGTAAAGTGTACCTTCCAACATTGGTGCACTTATTCCAAAGCATGCGGATCATGCTTCGGCGATGCGTTAAGCTTAGCCTACGGTACCTCGTGTACCCAGTGGTGCCTCATGCCCTATTCTCTCTCTGCTCTATTTAAAGCACACATCAGCACCCGCCCGCCAGCCATTTCACAACTCGGCGCAACAGCTGTGTGCTTTGACCGTTGTCTGACGCGCGCATTGCAATTGCAGTTTTCCACACGGGGAAGAGGAAGAAGATGAAGAAGAAGAGGAGGAGGAAGAAGAACCCCTTATGGAGTCTCCGAGGCACCGTTTCAGCACCTCGACTAACACACCTCCTCCCCAGTAACACTCATCGCCACAACCGAGTCAGCTGGAGTATCGCCTAGAGAATAAAAGCACGCGATAGCGCTGATTAAGTTCGCGCTCTCGTCGACGTTAAGTGTCTCTAAGAGCGCCAGCTTCGCAAAATCGCGACGACCGCTTGGGCTTGATGCGTCTATGCCAGTGGGGGGGCGGTGGGGGGGGGGGGTCGGCGGTTAGAGGTTTTTTTGTTTCAAACTTTCCCCCGGGGTATCGTGAGACCGCTGTCGCCAAATGTCCCCCCGCCGCGGACGTGAACGCCGCGCATTTTCCCGCAAATTAAGAAGGTCGCGTTCCGGCCAGCCGCGCTGCGCATTTTGGGCGGCCGCGCACCGCGCCGCTCGCACTCCGAGAGGGGCGACGGCGATGCGTCCCAGCGACCGGCCTGCGACGCGCGGATGCGGCCGCCGCAATTTCGGCGCGCAACACAAAACAACACAAAGGAGCCGCGTGCAGAGAGAGCGGTCCACGGAGGCGCTGCGTTTGCGTGAAGGTTAAGGAGGCAGCGGGAACGATGCTGCTGCTGCTGCTGCTGCCGCCCCCCTGACTGCCGCGATCGGTCCACGCCGTTGACATCGCCGTGTGTGACGGTAACCGAGTGGCGTATGCGTACGGTGCAGTTAAAACAACATTTGAAAGCTTCCAAAGTGATGACTCTGCGATAGATTTGTGTTTTGTTCCGGTCGTGCCGCGTGTCGTTCCGAAAGGTGTCACGACGTTTCTCTCCACGCGCTGGGAGCTTCTCTAATTCAGCTCCTGAAGAGGCACGTGGAGCGAAACGTCGGACAACGTGCAGAGCGACACGCGGTGAAATCCGAAGGCACGTGGGAGAAGTTACACAGCAACAACGGCGAAACCCCCACGCAGTGGTATCAATGTTACGGTCGTTAGTGTTGTTGTACAAGTTAAGTCCTATTGCTCTAACCTATCGTCCTCCGCGTTGTATTGCATAGGCTGCAGGTGAGCAAGAAAGAAAGACGCGTACCAGGGCGATGAAGTGACGTTGCCAAAGGTATCCGTGAAAGCAATTGACGCTTGCAGGAAGCTGCGAGGGGGACGGGCCATCTTTAGGGCAAACGTCGCACCGGTGCTGAGAATGGGAGTGAGCCCTTCGCGTGGCAAGTCTCCGGCTTTATCCGCGAGGGCCCTGCGAAAGGAGCTCAAATACGTCCACCGGTTCGTTTCTCTCAGCCTGGAGGGGCTGGACCTCACGGAGCTACCGTCCTCTCTCTTCGAGCTCAGGGAAGTGCAAAAACTTGGCCTTTGGCGCAACCGACTGACGACTATGCCGTCTGCCACGGGCCGCCTCGAGAACCTGGTGGTATTGGGGCTCGATGGGAACAATCTGATCGCCTTCCCCGCCGAGATCGGCATGCTGAGGAAGCTCAAGGCACTGTTCGCGAACAGGAATCGCCTCGTGGAGGTGCCGCGCGAGCTCGCGAAGTGCCAGAGTCTGGAGGTGCTCAGCCTTTCCAGCAACTCACTGAGATCCCTGCCAGACGACCTGGTGGCGCTCAGGAAATTGCGCAAACTCAACCTGAGCGCGAACGCCCTCGGGCGTGTCCCCCGCTGCGTCATGTACATGAAAGCGTTGACGTTCCTCGACGTGTCTTACAACGACATCGTGGGACTTCCGGACAGCGTTCGGGAACTGCAAAGGCTGGAGACTTTGATCGCCGAGAGGAACAGACTCGAGGCCCTGCCCGCCTCCATCTGCGAGATAACCCGTCTGGAGACACTCAACGTGGACTACAACCAGATCCGGACTGTTCCCCTAGACCTGGATCAACTGGTCCGCCTGCCCAGGATCGCCAACCACCCAGTCGACAGAGGGCTTCACATTCGGAACAACCCGCTGGCGGACCCCTTGGCCGCGGTCGTGGACAAAGGGCTCCTTGCCCTCTTCGATTGCCTGGAAGGGTGGCGCAAGCTGAGGCAGCTGCAGTCAAAGAGCATCTCGCAGCTATCCACGACGGGCTATTGAGACGAGGGCATTCACACACCAGCGACGGACGCATTGACGACGTTGATGAGAACAACGGGAGTTTTTTTTTTACACGTTGCAATCAACGCGTACATAGCACGTACACGTCTAGCAGGAGGAAGCAAAACGATGGCGAGGTGTAGGTGGGTGGAATCGTGGTGATGACCGATTGACTTTTCCATAATAAACGCTGTTTTTACACAGCGATCTTTCATTTTAAACCATCTGTCACACGCACTCGATTTATGTTTAATTCATTTTGTTTAAGCATGAGGACGACGAATATTCCTTACTTAACTTGTAGGGGTTCGATAAAAAGCGCGTGTGAAATGAACACTTGTGCTTTAATGAATAAACCATAGAATAATAACAACATATATAATTACTTGCACAGGAAAGCCTGCAGGGTCCTACATCGAAATATTTGGCCAATACCATTCACGAGCGTTCGGCTTCGTGTGGGAATAAACTCGCCAAGCATAAGAAGGGTGACAACCTCGGCACTTCCCACCTCCTAAGAACCTCGCAAGCCCAGCGCACACAACAATTGGCAAGCCATTGCGGGAATCCATCCAAGTCCTTTTTTCAGGAATATTTTGCTGTTTTTTTTTCCATGGATTTTCTGTTTGCACAGTCACACATAGTCACTTTAAGATGTTTTTCTTGTTCGTGTTTTTGTTTTGTTTGTTTGTTCTGGTTGCACCCGATTCAAGAGCCGAATGGCTCACAGGGCTATACCAAAATAAATCAACTGAAACTGAAGACTCAAGACACCGCTTAGCTTCCGAGATCTAACGAGCCCGGGCGCATTGACGGCGAATTGGTCGCGTTCGCCGCACTGCTTCATCGGGGTATAGAACCTCGCAACGAATGTAAACATAGGAGGTCGTTGTGGCGTTATGTGTATGTGGCCACCTTAATCTCCTGCTGCGCTGTTGTCGATCAATGCACGGTTTGCTGTGGCGTGGTTTGGGCCGGCAGACGGCCTCGATTCGACATTCGGCTTTAAATGCTTTCGCTCTCGTCTCGGTCTCGACTGCAAGTCGTTGCTAAAGGGAACGGTAGCTCCACGACACGACAGATGTCTGTGTGCAGTTGCCTTCGTGAGTTGCCCACGCGATGTTCCATACGCGCTACCCACGATTAATCACAGCAAACAATATCCATGTGATTTAACAACGGCAAGAAAACACGTCGGTACACGCGTAAATTGTATACAGTTACAATCGTATGCGGATGACTATTCTTGGATGTTCAATCATTGATGTAAAGTTAAGGATGGGCCGCTTTTCGGTGATGTTTTTTTTATTACTTTACCGAAGGTTTGACAATAAATTTATATTTTTCAACGGTTTCCAGTCTCTGAAAATAAATGACAACGTGCGATTGTGGAACGCGGCCTCTTCAAAACCATTCACTGGATGCTGCCACTCCCGGGTGGATGTAACATCACCGTAACTGCGGTCTGCTCTAGAAATTAAACGGCCGGATATACATGCCGTGTTCCGCCTTATCATAAGGGACGATCCCCTAGCGTTTTGCAGGAACAAAAAAAAATAAGTATTGTTCTCCGAAGCTCAAAAAGTAAACATTGCGAATATAGCGATGATGATTCGATCGCTTATTCATATTCTTGGTTATTCTTCATTCGTTCGCTGCTGCGTCTCCAAGCATGTCAAGGACCAGACAGTCCCGGTTTAGCGCTGACCTTAACAGTATAACCACTGCAGCATTGCGTTGTGCATTTCAGAATCGGCCTGTGGTTTTGATGGCTTGAGTCTGATGACCTTCCTTCGTGTCGCGTTTTACGTTTGGAGATTCTATAATTATATTTCAATAGCATCGCAGGCTGCAATTGGAGCGGATGCAAATTACGGGATTTTGTGAGCACGTGGGATATACCAGGGCACTCTACCCCTCAATTAGCCAGGTGTATCGCTTACGGCACTCAATAATGAATGAAACTTTAAATAATATAGGCGTATTTTTCGTCAAAATTATCATCTCACAGCCCTTAAAAATGTTATGCTAATCCAAGAGTAATGTACAATATAGGCAATTCCAAGCGAAAGTAAAAAGCACTTCATCGGCCAATATATATACACACACGCACACATAAAGATCACCCGAATAGCCTTAACAGATTGTTGGGGCACGTGCTGTTAAACGAGCGCCGATGAAGGCCGACACAGCGCACGAGGGGGTGGGTGACCAGCCCCACGCCCGGCCGCCTTTGTCTCCCAAGTGGCGATATTTACACATCGCACCAGGTACTCATTTGAGGCCGAGTCAACGCGTGGCCACTTTGCACCGCGCGGGCTGTTCACGCCTAATCCGTCGTTCGCTACTCGCAATCTCTCACTCTCTCTCTCTCACTCACTCTCTCTTTCTCTCTCTGCCGTCGTCAGCTTCTAGCGGACACGCGGGGGGGGGGGGGGGGGGACGGCGGTGATGGCACAGCAAAGCCGGCTACGACGTCTTCCCGTTGTGGAAGATCTGGCCCCTGGCGAGGCCCTCGAGTGGCTCTTCATCGTGCGCGGAAGTTTGTCTTCTACACAGATAATGCACCACCAGCACCACCACCATCCCCCTACTCCTCTCCCCCACCACCACCAGCACCACCAGCTCCACCACCATCCCCCTACTCCTCTCCCCAACCACCACCAGCACCACCACCATCCCCCTACTCCTCTCCCCCACCACCAGCACCACCACCATCCCCCTACTCCTCTCCCCCACCACCACCAGCACCACCAGCACCACCACCATCCCCCCACTCCTCTCCCCCACCATCACCACCACCAGCACCACCAGCACCACCACCATCCCCCTACTCCTCTCCCCCACCACCAGCACCACCAGCACCACCACCATCCCCCCACTCCTCTCCCCCACCACCACCAGCACCACCAGCACCACCACCATCCCCCTACTCCTCTCCCCCACCACCAGCACCACCACCATCCCCCCACTCCTCTCCCCCACCACCACCGTAACGTCGGGGAGCTGGAGCCCCCCTTCAGCCTCCGTCCCCCCCCCCCCCGCTAATCACTCTCCCGTTTATACATTCTTATAGTCAGAGGTAAACAATGTTGCTTCGTCGGGGATGGATAATGTCCCGTGGGTTTGTTGTTGTTTTTTGGTATTATTTGTTGCTGTAAAGTTATAGCCCGCCCGCCCTTACTGGACATCTGTGGGGGTGTGGGGGGGGGTGTGGAAAGAGCTTCATAGCTCATTGGATTCTTCCAGAATAAATAAATATTCTGATCCTGCAATATGTAGCACAATTCAGTGACTGTCTGCGCAGCCCTTCTGCGTATACACAGGGGACCCAGAGCCAGAGCAGAATGCACGCGCGGTGTTTAAAATGTGTCTAACATTGACTTCGCATTCCCCTCCTCTACCCGCGAGTTGATGTATGCCCACCCCCCACCTTTAAACAAGGTCACGAACACTATCTTCGGTGAACATTTTTGCATTGAGGTCGTATCGTATGCGTGCAAAAAAAGTAGACTATCATTTTAACATATCTCATATATATTGACAGATTATGAGCCACCTGCGATCATTTGTTGTTGTTGTTATTATTAAAATCAGTGTGTATGTACATGTTTGCTAGGGCTGGAGGTGTGGTAGTAAAATGACCGGGCAATCTACGCAAAGGACCACGCTTTTTGAAAAAAAAACGACATCAATGCAGGAATGCATTCGCTGCTTAAAAACGCATTGCAGCCCCTGGTAAGTCCACTGCTGGATGTATGCCTATCCACGACGTGCCGCTCATGGAGCTGTTTGACCATACTTCGAGGACGGCTTGAGGTGTATCTCGCCACTGACGTTAGCCGTGCACCGTAAATCCGAACTCAGATGTCGGGATTACGCAGCGCAGCTCGTAGGCCACTGAGTCACCGCTCCAAAGCTAAGCGATGCATATTAATGCGACGGGCACGCAATAATGCGGATGTAACAAGTTGACAACGTTGCTGGCGACAAAACGTATCCTTTGTGAGGAACGCTTCAAACGGATGTCCGACAGAGAACGTGACTGAACAGCGCATGTACATGGCCTTCATTTGCTTGAGACGTGTTATATTGTAGGCCATTATAACCGTCTTATCGTGTCGACCGTATAACGCGCAGTAACACCACCCTGTGTCCCGTTAATCCCGGGATGTACAACCCACATCACGGCGAACATCGTAGCGCGATCGAACGCACGTTTATTCTAGCCGGGTGGAACTGCGTTTGTATGAGTCACAGTGTATTACACACACACACAAAATCTCAACACACACACACAAAATCTCAACACACACACAAAATCTCAACACACACAAAACCTCAACACATTAATCAGCAGCATTGCCTTTAAAAGAGCAAACTTATAAAAGGCGACGTTTCGGGCAATGACCCCTCATCAGCGCACACGGTGCACGGTTATCGACGATTCCGATGCGTGACGATCACGCGTGAAAAACCAAGGGCAAGGAAGGCGAAAAACCGAGGGCTGCGTTTGTCCGCCGCGTCCCTTCAACAAATGTTTCGCGCGAGACTTTCGCGAATTGTTCGGACAAATAAACACAAAAGGTGAGCGGACGTAAATCCCCGCTGACGGGGCCCTCGAGGGCGGGGCTGGGGGAGCCGCGAGCCCGCCACGCGAGGCGCTGCTCACGGGCGCCTTAATGACAAATCCATAGCCCTTCTCCACGCGTTCGTTTCTCAATTACATCTCGAGTTGTTCTTCTTGATGATGATGATGATAACGATGATTATAATAATTGTAGTGAATCTTGACTTAAAGCTTTCGTGACTGCAGGAATTCATATTCTTGGATCATTCGGTAAAGTCACGTAGATAGGTTCAAAGAAAATAACAACAAAAAACTACGACGTTGCGATCACAGCACGAGCGATCGTCACCAGGAGGAAAGAGGAGGGAAGCTGCTGAATGCCCATCTACGTGACTTCACCGAAAGACCCAAGAATATAATAATAATGATAGTAATCATTTTTTTGAAGGCGCCGTTTTTACAATGGATCTCAGCGCGTGCGGCTGATGTTGGTGTAGACCAGGGGGTGCGTGATGCTCTTTCTGGGGGTGCGAGACATGCTCAGATTTGTTTAGAAGGCAAATCATCGACACACAAATTAAGCACGGGCACATAAGCACAGCTACTTTGTTTCATTAAGCCTCTGTATTTATTAGCATTATACATTTTTTTTTGTTACGATTGAGAACCAAAGGGGTTGCAAGGCTGCATTTCAGGTAAAGAACCACTGCTGTAGAGCAACAACTATGCGTTTGCACCGAGGTGGTAGAGCCAGATAATAACGTCGGGAATAGCGGAGTGCAGCGCCGTGATGCATCACACCTCGACTTGCATTCGTTCTGTGCCCAAACCACGAGGATTTCGGGTTAATTCGTCACTTGCACAATGCACTCTTTCCATCTCAATGCCAGACGCACAGTCGGAGGTTTTCGGCAGTAGTGCGTGCTCGCGAATACGAGCCACAATCAGCGTCGTTGCGTTGCAGCGAAAGGAGATAAGGAACACAGGAGCGCAGTGTGACTCGACGCGTCACTTGCAGCACGCGATCAATTAACAAATCACCGCCACCAAATGCTGACAGTGGCGATATCCTGCGTGCTCTCTCAACAGTCGCTACTCATTGGGGACACAATTGAAATTCAACAATTGGGGTTGCACGAGAAAACACGGCGTTGAAAATGTAAAATAGAACTGTATACGAATTCGTGGCTTGAAAAGGAGTGAATTATTATATTTATTTAACAAAGGCGTTATGAATTAAATAATAATATGTATTTGTTTGTACGTATAGATTTGGCTGGGTTGACTGGTTTATTTTCAACCTGCAGGTGATACACGTGGTGTCTTTTTAAAGAGAGACGCCGAGTTACAAAAATACTAAAACAGACAAATAATAATAATAATTGCACAACGATACATTTAAGCGCAAAATATCACAAATAAAATATCTAGAATAATCAAAACGATTTAGACAAATGTGAATTTCAGTGTATACTATCCCTTTACGCATTAAACTTTAGGCAGAATTTCAAATATTCTCAATTCGTTGAATTGAATAAACAATTCGCACCCAACCAAAAATATCTCTGCACTTATAAATTCACCACAGTGCTGTGAATTTATATCCATTTTATCACTTGCTCAGGACCACATGATATATATATATATAAATCACAAACTGTATATGAATAGACAGTATTGGCACGCATTATTGTGGTCGAATATATATAGTAATCAAATGAATCAACGAACAATATAACCACCAATGGGAAACAAGTGGGTTCTTTTTTGTTTTGCATTTCACCCTCTATCATCGTTTTTTTTTTCTATCAATTCTCATTAAAAGCTACGATCGCTGCTATAGTAACGGTAAAGTGGTGGGGTTGGAAGTAATGGTTACCTCAATGGGAGAGCGCTCGCCTCCACGCAGGA